CCCTCCTGCTTTTCATTTTCCCACGTTCCATTCCCTCAACCCCCTCTTTAAAAACCCCTCAGTGAACCCGAGTCCTTGAGGTGGCTTTAGCCTGGCCGTTCCTCTTCAGGTTTACCACAGAGGTGGATTAGCCTAACACCTCTCCTTAGGTCACTGGTATTACTGAATAAAAGCTCACTTCCATTTTCACCGACATTTGACTTTTGGGTTGTTTTTTGTCTGGGGACAGGCAGCCAGGAGTTTGATATCAAATTTGGGGGAGGTTCAGCCAGGAGCTGAGTGGCCCCTTTCACAGCAGTGACTCAAAATTTCAGTAACGACAAGAAAGGATGTAGCTCAGGAAGTCACCTAAGCCCTACTGTAGGAGGGAAAAACAGGGAGGAATATCAGTCTCTGGAGAGAGCTGTATGCATTACCTAAAATACATTGTATGTATATATTTTTTTCCAGCTTTATTGAGGTATGATTGACAAATAAAATTGCATATATTTAGGGTGTACAATGTGATGTTTTAATATACGTATACATTGTAAAATAATTACTACAATCAAGCTAATTAACATATCCAGTACCTCACATAATTTTCATTTTTGTGTGTGGTGAGAACTCTTGAGATCTACTCTCTTAGCAAATATTAAGTATACATTATTGTGAACTATAGTCACCTTGCTGTACTTTAGGTCTTCAGGACTTACTCATCTCACAGCTGAAGCTTTGCATCCTTTGACCGTTATCTCCCCCTCTCCCCCACCTGCCAGCTCCTGTAACCACCATTCTACTCTGTTTCTGAGTTTCACTTTTTTTTAGATTCCACATAAGTGATATCATGCAGTATTTATCTGCGTCTGGCTTATTTCATTTAACATAATGTCCTCAATATACATACATGTTATAGAAAATGGAAACATTTCCTTCTTTTTTAAGGGCAAATAATATTCCATGGTATATATATACATTTTCTGTATCCATGCATCTGTCAACAGACAATAGGTTGTTTCCGTATCTTGGGGCTATTTTGAATGGTGCTGCAATGAACACAGCAGTGCAGCTATCTCTTTGAGATAGTGATTTTATTTCCTTTGCATATACACCCAGAAGTGGGATTGCTGGATTATATGGTCATTCTGTTTTTAATTTTTTGTGGAACCTCCATACCATTATCCATAATGGCTGTACCAATTTACTTTCCCATGGACAGTGCACAAGCGCTCCCTTTTCTCTGCATCTTCACCAACACTTGTTATCTTTTGACTTTTTGATAATAGCCACTCTAACAGATGTGAGATGATGTCTCAGTCTGGATTTGATTTGCATTTCCCTGATGGTTAGTCATGTTGAATACCCTTTCATTTGCCCATTGGCCATTTGTATGTCTTTTCTGGAAAAATGTTTTGTTTGGTTGATATATGAAGATGATCAAAGTATTGATCACAAATCACATGGTTTATTTCCATACAGAAATACTTTTTCTTTTTCACAATGCTTAAAGAGGGGGAGATTAATGAGAACACATCTCACAGGGGACACATTTGATGAGCAAGTTGCATCAACCACATAGTAAGTAAATTCTAATTTCGTTTAAAGTCCAGTTATTAAAGTCTATTTGCTCAATTAGGATGAAAGCAGGCTTCTATGCATATAAACTCTAATCGAAGTTTGAGGAACTTTCTAGGAGAGGTTCTTGGAAGAGACCCTTTGACCAACAAAACAGTGATCCACAATAATACATAAGGTCCCTTGAAGCAAGTGAGCAGAGCCGAGACCCCAGAGAACAGCTGGGGTGCTGGCAGAGAGGAGTCCTGCTGCAGCCTGAGCTCTCGGTCTGCCTCTGACATTCTTGGGTGCGTGTATGTTCTGGAATCCTGGAGTTGAGACAAGTAATTCATGTATCTGGTCTGATAAGGTGTGAAGAAACACTCTCGTGGAGAGGGGGATGACACTCCATGCTCCTCTCACAGCAAAACACATGTCCCTCACATGGCAAGTCTATGTGTTTGGAATCATTTCAAACCTACGTAACACAGGTCCTTGGCTCATTTTTAAATAAGGTTATTTGATTTTTTGCTATTGAGTTGTATAAGTTCCTTATATATTTTGGATATTAACCCCTTATCAGATGTATGGTTTGCAGATATTTTCTACCACTTTGTTGTTTCCAACACTGTGCAGAAGCTTTTCAGTTTGATGTAGTCCTTTTGTTTATTTTTGCTTTTGTTGCCTGTGCTTTTGGTGTCAAATCCAAAAAAAATCGTTGCCAAGACCAATGTCAAGGAGCTTTCCCCCTGTTTTCTCCTAGGAGTTTTATGGTTTCAGGTCTTACATTTAGGTCTTTAATCCATTTTGAATTAATTTTTGTGTATGGTGTGAGACAAGGGTCCAATTTTATTTTTTTGCATGTGGATACCCAGTTTTCTCACCATCATTTGCTAAGAGTTTATCACTTTCCCATTGTGTTTTCTTGGTGACTGTCAAATATTAGTTAACCACGGATGTGTGGGTTTGTTTCTGGGCTCTCTGCCTTGTTCCATTGGTCTACGTCGGCATTTATGCCAGTACCATATTATTTGATGACTGAAGCTACGTATATAGTTTGAAATCAGAAAGTGTGATGTCTCAAGCTTTGTTCTTCTTGCTCAAGATTGCTTTGGCTATTCAGGGTCCTGTTTCCATACAAATTTTAGAACAAAATTTTCTATTTCTGTGAAAAATGTTATTGGTATTTTGATAGGCATTGCATTGAATCTGTAGATCACTTTGGGTAGTATGGACATTTTAATAACAAAGTTGACTCTTGAAAAACATGGGTTTGAACTGCACAGATATACTTACATGTGGATTTTTTTCAATAAATATACTGGAAAAAGTTTTTGGAGATTTGTGACAATTTCAAAAAATTCACAAACCACACAGCCTAGAAATATCAAAAAATTTAAGAAAAAGGTACGTCATGAATGCACAAAATATACATAGATGCTAGTCTATCATTTACTATACCATAAAATACACACAAATCTATTATAAAGTTTACACACACACAGACTAGACATCATTCACAGTCAAGAGAAATGTAAACTAATATAAAGATGCAATATTAAATCATAATTGCATAAAATAAGTACAGCACACAGTGCACTCGGGTAATCATTTCGTAGCCACCTCCTGTTGCTATTGCAGTGAGCTCAAGAGTTGCGAGTATCTGCTTAAAATGCCATGTGATGCTGATCATTTCCAAGTGAGCAGTGTGTCTCTCCAGTAAATTGCATATTGCAGTAGAAAGTGATCTCTCATGGTTCTCCTATATTTTTTTATCATGTTTGGTGCAAAACCTTGAATAACACCATGGAGCCCATATAAAGTGACACTAGTGTTGCTGGAAGCACTCCTGAAAAGCAGAGAAAAGTCATGACATTACAGGAAAAAGTTGAATTGCTTCATATGTACCATAGACTGAGGTCTGCAGCTGTGGCTGCCTGCCATTTCAAGATAAATGAATCCAAGAGGTCCAAATCAAGAGGGCAGAGTGACACTCCCCAATGTCACTCTCTCCCACAATCCACTAATTTACAACTATTAAAAAAGCAACAACTGCCAAGATGGGGTTGCTAGAGCTCAGGGGAAGAGGAGAGACCTGCGGAGTTCATGAAGGTGGGAGAAGTTATGATGAAAGAAGGGACTGCTCTGACCGTTTCGAGCCCTGGCCATTTCAAGGCTGGTCTCACGCAAAGCAAAAGCTGGCAAAAGCCACAGCTGTGCCCTTCGTATGAAGTTGCTCAGAGGTGGCAGGGGAGAAGAGGGCCTTGGTGGCCCCTAGGCTAGCAAGACCACTAACACGGTTCCTGTGGGTTTGCATAGGAGTGAGGGTCCACAGACAACTGAAGAAAGGAGCCACTCAGAGGCCAATGAGGGACCAGCACATGGCCTGCCCCATGGGAAGTGTTTGGAGTGCGGGTGGTGGGGGAGACTGGCCACAGGGGGAACACTGGGGCACAGCATGGACAGCCGATCTGCCCTTCAGCCAGCACAGGCCCACTAAGTAGAGACTGGGCAGGAATATAGAACTGCAGGGGGTGCAGTTTGCTGAAAAGATTCAGACCCAAACCAGAGTTTTCACACAACCCAGGTATATAGAACCTCACAAGACATGGAAGTACTCAAAAGGTCCACAATTAAAACCTGAGCTGCACAAAAAGCCTTCCTAGGGAATCAGCAGCAAAGCAGCAATTTAGCTCAAGCACAGGCTTCAAGTGGGGGGGGGACCACCCCACAGGTAGTTCCCCATTTTAGAAGTAAGCAAAGGACAACAAATTAGTTCCAGTGCAGAGTTTAAGTGGTGGGGGTAGCTTATAATCCAAGACAGAACTGAAAGAAAACACAAAAAACCCACAGAGCAGAGACAAAGTTCTGGTATTAACCAGTAAAGGTCTAACACCAACAAAGAAACCCCCAGTTCCAGAGCCTTTATGAGGGGAGCCCAAGGGCCTCAGCCACAACCCCCCAACATCCACATCTAGCCCCACAATGACCATGCCACCACTGGAAGCCCCCTGGGCCCCCTAGCCCGGGGGGCGAGGGCCTCAGCCCTGCCTTATCCCATCATCTGCATCCAGCCTGGTGATGACCAACACGCCACCAGAAGTCCCTCAGCCTTCTGAGTTGTTGGGGTCTGAGGACCCCAGCCACACTCCCCACATGTCTGCATCTACCCTGGAGACAACTAAGCCACTGCTGGGAACCCCCCAGGCTCCGAGTGCTGAGTTGGGGCAGTCCACATGCCCGTGCCCTCTGCAAGCAGGCCAGTGAAGGAGCTGGCTGTGGGCCAGCCCCCCTCCCCACCTCCACCTGCACTTCAGTACCTCCCTCCCACCTGTCCCTCCCACTGCTCTGCAGCATCTTTGAATGTAAAAAAACACTAATAATTAATAATATTTTTAAAAAAGATAAATGAATCTGAAGTAAGGACCATTGTAAAAAAGGAAATTCATGAAACCATCACTCTGCAGCTAGGCCAGCAGGCATGACCATCTTGTAAACAGACAACCTAAACCTATGGTATCAATAAATACAGCACAGTACTAGAAATCACTTTTCTCTTCTTTATGATTTTCTTGATAGAATTTTCTTTTCTCTAGCTTACAATATTGTAAGAATACAGCATATAATACATATAACATAGAAAATATGTTTTAACCGATTGTTTATGTTATTGGTAAGTCTTCCAGTCAACAGTTGGCTGTTAGTAGCTAAGTTTTGGGGGAATCAAGTTATATATGGATTTGTGACTGACAGGGGCGTCAACACCCCAAACCTTGCAATGTGTTCAAGGGTCAACTGTATCAATTCTTCTAATCCATGAACATGGGATATCTTTCCATTGATTTGTGTCTTCAATTTCTTTCATCGATGTTTTACAGTTTTTAGAACATAGGTCTTTCACCTCCTTGGTTAAATTTATTCCTAAACATTCTCTTTTTGATGCTAAAGTAAATAGAATGATTTTCTTGGTCTCTTTTTTTCAGATAAGAATAAGATCTAGTGTTCTATAGCAATACAGGGAGACTGCAGGCAATGACAAATAGGTGACAAATGCTTGAAATGATGGCCACACTAAACACCCTGATATGATCATTACACACTGTATGAATGTACCCAAGTATCATATTATGCTCCATAAATATATATAATTATCATGAGTCAATTGAGGGGAAAAAAGAGAGTAGAATAGTGGTTACCAGAGGCAGAGAAAGAGGAGGGTGGGATGGGGAAAGGTTGGCAGACCAGCACAAAGTTATACAATTATAGTTAGATTGGAAGAATAAGTTCTGGTGCTCCAGGGTGACTATAACTAATAATATTGTATTCTATATTTCAAGATAGAAAAGAGGATCTTGAGGGCCAGCCTGTGGCTCACTTGGGAGAGTGTGGTGCTGATAGCACCAAGGCCATGGGTTCGGATCCCTATATAGGGATGGCCGGTTCGCTCACTTGGGAGAGTGTGGTGCTGACAACACCAAGTCAAGGGTTAAGATCCCCTTACTGGTCATCTTTAAAAAAAGAAAAAAGAGGATCTTGAATGTTATAACCACAAAGAAATAAATGTTTAGGTGACAGACATGCTAACTATTCTGATTGGATCATACAATCATATACAATATTATGCTTGTACTGAAACAACAAGCTGTACCCTAAGAACATGTATAATTTAAAAAAAATTTTTTTTAAATAAAACCATGAGCACAGAGGTCTAGTCTTACCTTCTTAAAAGTCCTATTTCTTTAAAAAGAGTAATAGATATACTTTTATTACCTACTCATCCATTTATATTGAGTCAATTAAATAAAAAAGGTAATCAAATAAGCAAATTAAAAGATAAGACACCACCTTTTTTTCATATTTTTAATTACCATTATTGCACCAATACAGCATATGCTTTATATACATATATCTTAAACATTTTCAATTTTTCAGCAATTCAAATACATAATATATTATCATCTTGAGAATACAAAGAACACAACATGGAGGAAGACTGAGAAAATAAGTTCCCAGTAGTTAGTCACCAATGATTACACATACTTTCCTCTTAGTGTTTTCTATTGGAATTTTAAAATGTCCTGCCATGGCTCTGCAAAAATAGAGCTGCCCGGAAGGGGAGACAATGAAAAAAAAAAA